ATCTCATAGCATTTGCTTTACAATACTTTTTAACAGATTGCTTTCCAATACGAACAATTCTTGCTTAAATAGTTTTATAACGTATTTGTCAACAGGATTTCAATTTATGTTTACAATTCAATATTAAGGTTATTATATATTTAGATAACATTTATAATCATTATAAATTAGATACATTTAATAATTAGATTTCTTCACAGTACTTTCACAGTTGTTTATAAGTGAATAAATTCTTCATTTCAAATACATTTATAAATAATTTAATGAATATTTATGTATTTTGTCAAAGGCAGATACACGCTTTTTGCAATAATATGCAACAATAATATATGGATGTGAAAAAAATTTGTTTTATTTAACACATTTTGGCGTTTGGAACATAAAATAAAAGTAGCGAATACTCTATCAAGGGTATCGAAAGACGTATACAATTTTAAATGTACCGTGAAGTATTTTTCATTCTTTAAGGATAACATTCTTAAAATCTATATTTTTGTAGTTCAACAGCTTAGAATTTTATAAAACAAATTCATAATCAAAATCGCGCTGTTGTTAGTTATCGAAAAATAACCAAGATGTGATTTTTGCGTAAATGTCACTAAACTATACAAATTGCTATTATCCATCACACTATGAATGTTTCTTTCATGCGAAAGTTTCCCGTTTTTGATTTGTATGGAACTGTCGTGTGTCGAAATACTATCTGAACCGTGTCAAGCGAGTTTCTGAATGTAAACAAAGAACACCCCATCTGGTGACCCAAGCTTCAAAGTAGTGCTTCACTTCTAGTGCAGACTGGCGCCTCCTTCCTTTCCTACCTCCATGTTCAGATCAGTTGTGAAATCCTGTACAATGAGGGGCCTTTGTTAATGATTCGGGTTGAAGCCTGGAAAGCAAAGAATCTCTAAGGAGAAGAAGTAAAGGTTCCCCGGGGAAAATGTGGCTCCGTCAGACCGAAGAGACACATCATGTATATTCCTGAAGCTTACTTTAAAGGGGCAAACCATTCCAAAGCTATCCACCCTCCGTACCTCACTGCGCATGTGCGAAATAACATCAGGAGGCAACAAAGCAGCATCAAAGAATGCAGCATGCCGTCGGCCATGTTAGCAATCTTTTACCACGTTGTTCGAAAACGTTCTTTGTTGTTGTAGTCAGAGGTACTTGGTTTTAGCTATGTGAAATTCTTTTAATTAAAAGACTTTTTTTAAATGTAATGCTGTAAGTGAAATGGGTTTTGGCTATTGCGTGAAAACTTTGCTCTTGGTTTTCACAATGGTCATTCCAAATAATTGTTTAAAAACGTTTTCATGGTAATTTTGTTTTTAAAGTTGTTGTCGGATAATTATAATGTATTTCAGTGTTTTCAATTTATTTAGGGGTGCCTTTAATTGTCTTTAAATATTTTTTTTCTGTTTCAGTTAGTTATTGCAAATTTTGCTTTTAAAATTTCACTGTAAAATTTTTAACTATGGATCCATAAAAATTTATTACGTTTTGTATGGCATGTGTTTCCCCCCCCTTTTCAAGTTTACAGAAGAAAAGAATTAAGAAATTTATTTCATTTTAAATTTTGTCTTCGTACGACTTGCTGTTTAAATTGAAAGTAAAAATTGGACAGGATTTCTATAATTCGCCCCAAAATTCCAACTAACATCCTTTTGCTCATAAAACTCCAGAAATGTATGAAAATAAAACATTTTGAGTTATTTCAAAGTAAAAAATTTACTATCTCCTCGAACTGCGCTGTTTAAATTTCACCCTGCGCTGGTGTTTCACTGCATAGCCGTGGCGAAACGGGTTTACATTGCGTCTATGGAAGCTTTCATTCTTCTCCTTAGAGATTCTTTGCTGGAAAGTCACTCCAATGGACAAAGAGATAAAAGAAATGTTTTCATCAGGGTCAGGAGATGGACACTTTTGTTATGTACAAGTAAAAGAATCTTCCCCCTCCGGGAGTTCAGCGCAGGTAACTACACAGTGGTAACTAAATTATCATTTCTCGTGTATAATGCAATAGAGCATTCTTCCTGTTGACAAATTTCTGAAATTACGGGACTGAATGTATTCAAGTCCACATGGTCTGGATATGCACTTGTTAAATGTTTTTATTTTATTAAAATTCATGTTATTATTATAACTTGAGTTAGAAGTTCATTTCAACCCTGTATTACAAACCGGGGTTTGTGTAGTGGTTTCGGCCTCTACACTGCAAATTTAAATAATACATAAACTTCACTTAAAATACTTCCTTTCGCTCTATCCGATGGTGCAAGCAATGAAATTCTGAGAGTTTGAGTTTGTTGCTTAAATAAAATATGTACGAAAAACATTAAATTTTTAAAAATCTAAATCAAATTTTGAAAACATCGCTTTTGAAAACCACATTACCACATCGGTTTTGAAAACCACATTACATTGTCATCCGTACTCAGTCTTAAAGAAAGTTTGACTTCGATACAAACATTACGAGCGAGTTAAATAAGAGTTTAATAAAAGAGCGATTAGATTTAGAAGAAAATATATAAAAGGGTCGCCTCATTACAAAAAAATTATCTAAAAATAAGATTATATATTAGTAATGAAGCAGAAACTCATCGTAATAAAGCAAATTTAGCAATATTCAGGGCACAGAATGTTGATTCATATTGAAAAGCAAACTTGGCAGCAGAGATAGATTAAATATTCATCTTTATTTCAGCTGACGCCCCAATTAACTTGTCTGCCTAGTTTACATTTTTTTTACTGTTGCGATAAGAAGAGAGCAGCAAGGCAGCATCTTAGCGAAAACAGAGGTAAAAGCAAAGCAAATATGCAGATCAAAATTATAATTTAAATTAGCAATAACTCCTTAATTCTTCATTTTTAATTTGGGCATTTCCCCTTTCTATTCTAAAATTGGTAACAACTGTTTAAAATCGTAATAACTATTCGACGCAGCTAATTCGGTACTCGAGCTCAAAATTTCAAGAAATGAAACCTTTCTTTTGGTGAACTTCCATATTCGCTGACTGCGCACATTGCTTGTACTTCTGTTCTCGCTAAGACACTGCCTCGCTGATTTTTTCTTATCGCAATAGTATAAAAAAATGTGAATGTTCCTGAATAGGCACGATTAGAGTGTTAAGTGAATTGTGCCCGGAGATGTCAATTGAAATAAGGAAGAATATTTAATCTGCCTCGGATGCCAACTTTACTGTTCATTACGGTTTCAGCATTCTATATTCTATGCTATTAATGCTAATGCTTCATTACATAAGTCTATTGTTTCATTACATATTTACAACCTGTTTTAAAAGAGGTTAAAAAGTTTGTGTTAGAAACTTTGAAAATTTTTAATCTTTATAGTACATACATTTTTTATTTTTAAGAATTTTAAAAATCCAGTAAAAGAATATATTGGATACCATAATACATAAAATGATGTAAATCAAATTTTAAAATGAAATGCTGAGAAAAATGTATATAAACTTACAAAGCAGAAGAAAATTAAAAATGCAAGAGAGATTTCACCGCAAACAACTTTAAACTCTATTCAATCATGTTGTACTTTAAGATTTATAGAGGAAATTAATTGAATATGCAAGACTTTTCTATAAAAAAAAGGGGGGAGAGATAAATAGCATTTATAAAATGGCAGAAGAATATAGTACCTTAATTTATTTGTCATTAATTCTTTACAGCAAGGTGAGCGAAATAAATCAACTTTAGAGCAATCTAAAAGCCTGACGAGACTGCCATTTATTTACATTTGAAATCTTAGTAGAATAGTGAATTAAGTCGTTGGCGAACCAACCGCAATGTCTTTTTGCCAGTAGGATCAAAAGTTAAATTTCAGTTTTGAAAATGCTTTGAGATTTTATCTATTTCTGCCTTGTAAATAGAGTTGTTGCTTTTTCACTTCTGTGAAATGTATTTGTTGCAAACCTCCAGCACAAGCGATCCATTAAAAAATACAAATTACGTCCTGAATTATTAATTTATTAAATAAGAAGATTTCACGTGACGTTAATTTATGATGGAAAAAGATCATAGCATATCCTTCTCCCTTAGCTTTTGTTAGGCATAATTGTTTCCAGTAAATGTTTAAATAAATACTAACTAATAAACATATCGCAAGTGCTTAATTTTTAATTTAAAACTGTTTCAGGTGGTTAACTGGATTTTTGAATACTAAGATCAGTAGTAGTTTTTTTTAATGAATATACAAAGATTCGATTCTTAAATTTAATTATTAAATTAACATGCTTGCTAAGTTCTATTAGTAAATTAGTATGATCTTTAAAATTTATTTTTAATTGAATTATTTAAATATTTTAAAATTCGATTTTTTAATTAGAAATATTAGTAATAAATTATTTTTTCTAACTGCTCTTATAATACCGTTTAGAATAATACATCGCATATTTTATTTTGTGTTAAAATACGCAACATAAAATATATTTTCAACTATAATGCATTTTATTTTTGTTCAAAATGTATAATGTAAATATATACGTAAACTAAAATAAAATATTAAGGAATATATTGTATATATCATGTTTATCACGCTATTGAAATTAGAAATGTCCTTTCAGATTATTAAAATCAATGAGTATATTCTATTCAGTTGCTTAAATTTGTTTTAATAAAAGTAATTCTTTCGAAATAAAAGTTTTCAACTAGCAAATGAAACATTTACTGAGAAAAATGCGTTGTTTTTTGTTTAGAAAAGAGGAGATAAAAAAGAAAATTTATTATTGTACTTTAAGTGGGTTATTTTTTTGTGTATCTGGTTTCCTTGAACTGAGGTTCTTTCTCACAGTAAAGAACTGAAGTATGAGTATTATTTTTGTCCCCTTACGTCCGTAAAGACGTCACCATTTCTCTGCGCGAGAACGAGAACCCCAAGAACCCACGGAACGATCAAAAATAGTCCATTATTTTCTTTTTCATCCTCAGGGCTTCATCAGGTAGCGATCATCTACAGCGGCTGGCAACAGCGTCAAAAAAACGGACATCCAATTGTGAAGAGGCAGTATTGTGACGTCACATCCGGATACCACGCCCATCATCCACCACCACGAGGGTTTGTGATGCGTACCAGTCTTTGTGTGAGGAGCAGAAGGTAATGTTGTGTTTGTTTGAGTGTCCGTGTTGTAAGCTTTTTAACGCTAATTAACTCATGGACTTCACTGGCTAATATTTGGATTTTATCTGGCGTATTGCTGTGGATACCAGTGCCTTTGTTTACACATGAAGAACATTTCAAGCACTATGGAATATTTATGGCATCATCCAGATCCAGCTGATATTATAGCTGCACAGAGTTTGATAACATTAGCTTTAAATCATCGTGAATCTGCGAGAACTAATCTTTTGCAGAGTTCTAACAACGATGATGATCGACCATTCATGATCAATCGTATTTTAGAAGATCTTAGCCGTTGTAAACAGGACCCGGTACCTAATGTAGACGATGAAATCGCGCCAGTGAGTGGCGAAGCGACCACGCCTTCCTTAGTTCCGGAAAACACAAAGGCTGCTAGGAGGCCGCCACAAACAAAGAAAATGCACGAATGTCCGTTTGTAGGGTGTGACAAAGTCTATGGCAAAAGTTCACATCTGAAAGCACATTTAAGAACGCATACAGGTAAGCTTTCTTAAAATTTTGTACTTTAATTTTAATATTATATTGTAAAACAGAGGCAGAGACAACTGCGCATAAGGCCTTTAAATTTGTTCTGTGAAATCAGATATTTTGTTTACTATAAGCTGCATGCAGGTATTTTCGAATATTATTTATTTAAAATTTTCATTTACCATATTTAGTATCGAGTATAGAACTTTTACTGTTCCCTGATATTTCAGCCTTTTGTATTTTTTTAATATCTTTTTTAACTAATCGGTTTTTTAAGTAAAGTACACTAGTTATTGAAAGAAATTATTGTGGTAAATAGCCTTTGTGGATTATAAATGCGGTTCCCTTTTGTTTCCATGATTACCATGTATGCATTTTAAAAATAGCGGATTTATTGAATTATTACGACTAAACGCCTTAAGGATTTGTCAGTTAAATTGAATGAATTACAAGAAATGATATTTTGTGGGCACTATATTGTTATAACTGCACGAAAATGTGCTGTTGATTCTCCCCTACCAAACAGAAGTAGTTATTTAATCCAAAACTATAAATTGTACTGAAGATTTGTTAAGCCTAGTAATTTGTTTGCTTTGAGTGTGATTGTATATTTTAATTAAAATAACATGGAAAAAAACTGAATTTTTTTCTTTGGCCTCATATAAGAATAGTGTTCCAGAATTCATAAATTAATTTTTTCCCTAATAGCTGTTACAGCATTCTAGCTTCGTTTTGAGTTGAATTAAAAGAATGAATATTCAGGTTTTGGAATATTTTTAGAATGTTAGAATCTGGAGTTGCATAAAGATTGTCTTCTTCAGAAGAAAATCTGAATAAACATTGTTGCGAAAAAAAGGGGGGAGGAAAGGGGAAAAAATTCCACTTTTTAGGGCAGTATTTTTATTTTCACTTATTTATTTATTGAAGGAATTAAATTTTTTTTAGTCTAGTTTCCCCCCCCCCCTTTCTTTCACAATATTACACTTTTGTTTCATGTATTTATGCATTGATGACATGTGTTATCACAGAATCTTGATTCTGTAAGCAGAACAACATATTTTTTGTTGTTATTACCAAAAATCAAAATTTCAGTTGTTTGATTCAAAGATTGCAGGTAATCTTGGGGACAAATATAAAAAGGACATCTGAGGTAACTAACTATAATTAAACAGTTGATTTACTATGAATTTTAAAAATTATTATTATTATGTTTTTTAGAAAGGTAAGCTAAATGTTAACTCGGTAATTATTTTTTATATGACTAGTAATATGTTAGTAAATGTAAGCACAATGCCTGCTTTATAACTTGTAAAATGTTAAGTTGGGTATTCCAGTTCTCGCTGTATGTACTTAAGCATTTGCTCTGTAATACTTGATAAGCATCTGTTATTCTGGCCTTCAAACTATCCTGTGTCACAAATTTTATGATGAAAACTTAATTTTTGATATATTGTCTTTCGAGTACACAATAGAGTCTACAATCTCATTGCTAGCATTAGGTGTATCACTTCTCACCAGATCATCAATACTACCAGGTTCTGTAAAACGTTTCACACCAATTCCTCATATTAACATCTGAAGATGGTACAGTGGTTAGGGGAACCAACTGCGCTACCAAAAGGTCCAAGTTTGAATCCCAGAGAAGGCATGGTTGTATTTGTCCATTCCCTCATTGGAAACAAAGGTCGCCCACCCATTTGGTGTTTCCAAAATAAAGTGACCAATGTCTGTTAACAGTTTAGACATGTTCACAGACATTAGCCATTTCTCCATTTTGGGGGGGGGTGACATCTGTAGGCCTGTGTCCATATGAATTCCTGAACTTCTATTAATTGGCTGTTAAATTTCACGATATCCTAAACCACACTTTGCTTTTTTTCATTGTAGCCCATTTCATTACTATTTCTTGGAGCCATTAACTATATGGTAACTTATTGCCTCATATTCTGTCTTAATGAAAAACGTTATGGATCATTCTTCTATAATGTAGGGAATGTGGCATGCTCAGAGGAGCTTTATTCCTGAAGTGCGAGATCTTAACTCTTATCCGAAGCTGGCCACCAGGATGGGTGCAACCATTGCAGTTGTCACAGGCAGCAGAATTTAGAGGTGGCATAACTTAGAAGTTATAGAGTTTGCATCGGTGATGAGAAACGTGGCACGGCCCCTTGGCCTCAACTTTTTTTGGAAGTGGACCGATACCTACTTTATTCCCAATGCATCATATAGAGCAGGATTTCTTAAACTTTTTTCAATTGCGACCCCTTTTTATCATTGAGATTTTTTCATGACCCCCAGGGCCCCATAATATTTGCAAAAATTTTGCGAGACGCCATTAAGTATTGCACACATCTGACACATGCGTGTGTGAAATTGTCAATTTTTTCACTTGTGCTGTAGTATACCATTGCAGTTTTAGGTCAATAATTTCTAAATTTAAGACATAGGACAATGTGAAAATTTTAAATAAGTAACAGATGAAAGGACAACGTAATGAGCAAAGCAAGGAAAATGAATGTTTATGTTATAAAAAGAATGTCAAGGCATTTTTTTTTCTTTGTCTGTATTGTATTATCTCTATCTATTTTCAGATACATTATGTAAAAATATTTAGTAATTGTAAAATTATTATAATCGGTTAAAGAAATATCAAAACTGCTAAAATTTTTGGCGATCCCCTGCTGCAGGTCCTGCAGTTTCAGAAACCTTGATATAGAGTATGATATCTGGCATTAAATGAGACTGCTTCATCTTACAGCCTGCCGATGGGTTGGAAGTAGAATCCAATTCTTCTGTAGTAAGCCTCCAGAGCAGAGACTGTCACAGTACTGATCTCCATCAATAAGAAAAAAATTGTAACAATAGACCTACATAATGATAAAAATTTCCCATTTGTGTACCCTACAGAAGACCAGCACTAGGAATTTTTGCTGCCCAGTGCAATCTCTTTGGATCCTAAATTTTACTTCCCTGCATTTCCAAAAATTTCGGCTGTTCATAAACTGTTATGTCTGGTCTTGACTTAAAATCTAAGAATTCTGCTGTCCCTAAATTTTGCAGCTTATTACTTCTCTGAATTCTAAAAATGTTTAGTAATTAAATTCCGCCACTCAGTGCTACTGCATCAGTATATAGAAAGGTGTTCCAGAAATATAATATAAAAAGCTTGTTCAGGTATAAAACTTGGGAAGTGGAATGGACAGAGATTTTCCTAATTTTCAGAACAATCATGTTTCATCGAAATCTGTAACATTAATAATTTAATCACACTGAGTGGGAGCAAATGCAGCAGTAGAGTATTTCATCAATAAATATGAGAAAATTTTTCTTAGCAGCTCTCTTCAAAATCTGCTTAATATTTTTGGCAGCATAAACTAACATCAGACTTAAAAATTTTTGATATGTTTCAATGTCGCACATTAGTAACTGGGTGAAAAAAAAAAAAAAAAAAATGGCTGAAGCTTTTTTATCCCATATTGGCTTTGGAAAAACCTTTTCTAATATATTTTGAGTTAAAAAATGACAGGTAATGTGAAAACGATTAAAGTTTGATGGATTAGCTATTCATTAATGCATAATCCTGTATCCATTTGTTATATTTCTAACGTGTCATTGTGTTGTATAAATCACTCAAGATTCTATTTTGGTTTACTTTCACACTCTCATATACTTTCCACTCTAATTTTTAAAATTGTACAAGATTATAGATTTTTTTTTAATGAAGATGTATATGTTTTTAAATCTTGACTTTTAAAAGGCATTTTATGCTTTCTTCAGGTATTCTGTATCTGATTCAGTTACATATACCTATCTAACTTTAAAATAATGTTTACATTTAAAACTTCTTATTTACCTTATTTGAAAGTTTTGTTTAATTGTATTAGGAAGAGTGGATTATTGAAAATAGGTTTCAATTTTCTTTGATACATACATGCTTGTTAAAGAAAATTATGCTTAAATAATGTATTAATAATTGTTAGATAATGTTTTATGGAATTATAGCAGATTAATATGTAAATAATAATGGAAGGGATTTAATTACAGAATTCAACGTGGGTGCCAAAGCTGGCGCATTTGGTATGGTCACATTGCATGGCAAAATGTTTAGAATTTAGGAAGAAACTGGGCGGGCAGAGTTTAGAAATTGCAATAGGTTATTAAGTTCACAATAAGAACTTAAGTGTTGAATTGAGATTTTCCCAAATAAGTAATATATTATTTCTGATGATAGGTTTATGGTCACTTTTCTTTGAACTTGTGTGTAACATTTTTATTTTTAATTGCTTTTTCATGGGAAGTGTGTTAAATTATTGATGAGCCAATTTCCTTAAGAAGTCTTCCACAAAGACATCTATTTCTTTTGGCACACTAGTGTGTTTTACAATAATTAAAACAATTTATTCCATTCAAATTCTTCATATATAATTTTATTAAAGGTTAAAATTGAACTATTTTTATATTTTATTATTATTCTGTCTGTTTTATCATTGAGATTTTTTCATGACCCCCAGGGCCCCATAATATTTGCAAAAATTTGCGATTAAAGTTATAATTGATTTGTGACTTTATTGGTTAAACTATTTGAAAAATTAATAGATTAATAAATAAAGCCACAAAAAATAGTGATGTAATTGTTTTCCATTATTGGAGTATTTATGTATGAAAAATTATTTAAATTATTATGTTATTATATAACGATTGATTTTGGTGCTGTTCAATTAATATTTTGGGGGGGAAAAAACTCTTTTTTATTATATTTATTGTATTATTATTTTTTATTATTTATGTAAATAGATGTCTAGTGATATTTTGATTTCTTTAAATTCTTTGGCATGGAAACTACAGTATTCCAAGTAATAACTTGATAATTAATTACTGGCTTTCTAGAGACTAGATATTTGAAGGGGAGAAAATGTGTAAATTTTATTTTGGGTTATCAGCCTAATGATAGACATTAATGCAGATTTTTGTATCTGGTAAGTCTTTCTGCCCAAAGAGCAAAAAGTCTAGCA